CCCCGGGCGGCCCGCGAGGCGCCCCCCGGGGCCTCTTAAAGAGACACGCACACTCAGCCCTGGGGAGTCCCCCGGGGGTGCCCGTTCCTAGGAAGAGGGGGGGGGAAGATCCAAACTGGTGGGGGGGGGGTGAGGGGGGATGGGAGGAGCAAGAGCTGCGAGCTGCTAGGCGCCGCTCGAGAGGCTGCCTGGGCCGCCCCAGCGCCAGTCTTCGATGATCCGAGAATATTCCTAGCTGGAGTTTGATGGGGATGAGGGAGGGAAGAGGGGGCGGCAGGGAAGGGGAGGAAATCAATGCACAGAGCGTTTGCAGCAGACCCTGGGGATGATTACAAGATGGTGGGGCGGGGCGGATGGTCCTCGGCTTTGTAGGTGGGATTGAGGTCTCCAAAATATAGCCTCTGCGCCAACGCTGCAGGATTCCCTGGGCAAATCACCCAGGCCCGGACCGCTACACCAGCTATGTACTCAGCCCAGGAAGACGTCCAAAATGCACACTTCAATGTACTCACATTCTTACAAGTAGGAAAGTACCTGTCCACACACGCGCGCAAACACACGATTTTGCAATGTATTCTCTGGGTCTCCTGGTTCCGTACTTGGATTAACTGGCTAAGAAAAACTTCCCTGACTATTTGTTCACTTCAACAAATCGCCTCGCCGACTGTGTGCAGGTGTGTCCATGCACAGCCCTCCCCTAAGAGCCGAAGCTGGAATTATGCAAAGCTGCCATTGATCCCACTGCACGGACCGACAGCGCAGCGCGGAACTGAAGAGTTGACTCTGGGCAGAGAAGGTACCGAGAGTGAACTAACCAAGATCAAAACCCCTCGGGGCTGGCGCCCACTAATGCACCGCTAGGAACAATTACGGGAGCCAAGGTACTGGCTCAAAAAAAAAATATATGTAGGAAAAGGTCTCCGAGGCCAAACTGCCCCTGCTGCTCTCGACCCCCGCACTGTTGGGGGCGACCGGTCTTTAAGCGCCAATCTATGGATGGCTCAGTGAGAGGCGCCCCGCGAGATCGGGTGGGTCCCCGTTGGAGGTGGGGTGTGTGCGGCTCAGCACGCGTCCGTAGGGCCGGGGCGGACGGAACTCACTTGTATTGGTTGTGCAGGTGGAAGCATCCATCGTGGCTGGAGCGTACTCCGTGTTATCCTTCGGAACGCGACCTCCAGGAACGGCCGAGGGTCCGCGCCCGAGCCCAGTTCGTGGCAGGTGTGTGATCGCTTAGCTTTCCCCGGCACACCTGGAGTTATGGCCTTCGATGTACACGGCACCACACTGGGCGAAACACACACACACACACACACACACACACAATGCCTGGCGGATGGGCAGGCTGGGACAGAAAACGCAGGCTGATTGCGGAGGTGGGGGGCGTCAACCACAGGTGCTCTGGCAGACACCCCGAATCCCGCACTCGTTACTCAGCATTCCTGCATTTGGGACACCTGCGTGTCCCCAAGACGGACACCAACTCGAGAAGTGTCTGGCAGCAAAGGGCATGCCGGTGTTTAGGAAGTACCGGATGCAGCGAAAATTCGTTCGGTCGCGGGTGGAAAAAAAATCCTTCCTCCGGGATGGGCCGGCGCGGTGCCCCCCCAGTGCCCCGCGGAAGGTGCGCTCACCTCCCCCGCCCCGAGGACCCGCTCTCCCGGCCGCCGGAGGATCCCGGGCTCGGTGGTGGACACAGACCCACGGGCTCTGGGCTGCGTCCAAGGCCTGCTAGGAACTGCAGGTCCCGCTTGAGTCTTCCTGTGAGCGATGGCACAGGCCGGAGGGGTCCCCACATTTCCCCCAACGCCAGGCCGCGTCCCCGCTCCCGCCCGGTCCGGTCCCCAGCAGGGCTCTGCCTTGGCTCCACTCACCGGCTCCCGCTACCTGGCTTCCGCTCCGGGACCTCAGCCTCCCGAGCCTCCCGACTTGCCCGCCCACCGGCCGGGCTTTCCAGCGCCCGCAGCCTCCCTCCGGAACGCAGAGACCCGGGGCGGCGACCTGGAGCCGGGTCGGAGGCCAGGCTGGGGCGCAGGCCAGAGCGGCCGGGCCTCCGGGCCAGGAAAAGGAGGGCGCCCCCTCTCCTCTCGGGAACGTGTCAATGCTTTGCACTTGGGGCCAGCATGCGGCCAGGGGGGCCTTCCCAAAGGCCTGGGGATCCGGGCGCCCCCCGCCTCAGGCCCTTTCGGCGGGTCAGGTCGTCCCTCCACGCTTTCCAGTCCTCGCGCAAGCTGCCGCGGGCGCGGGCGGCGGGGTGGGGGCCAGGCCAGGGGGAGGGGTCTCGGGGCCCGCCGGCCCGTCATTGGTTAATATTTTATTCTGTTGACATGTTTTCTTACTGCTGAGGCTTCCGACACCTTCTCCCCGGCCCCCCCTCCCGGCCAGAGCTTGGCCTGAGCTGTCAAAACCCCGCCCCCGGAGACCCACAATTGGTCCAAAAAGCGTAAAATCAGCAATCAAGGGGGGCCTGGCTCGTTAGCGCAGGGGATCCGAGCAGGGCAGGACATGTGAGATAGTCACAGTTTTCCAGAGATCACGACAAGATCTAACCAGTCGCGCGTGGTCCCCGGCGCCGGAGCCGGCCAGCCCAGCCCAGCCTCGTACAGAGCCCCCTCCGCCCCCGCGCCCCAAGCCCCCCGCGCCCCTTGAGGTGCGCGCGGGATTGGGAGCCGGGAGGAGCCGCTGCCGCGCCGGCCGCCCCGGCCGTCCGTCCTCCGCGCGCGCCGCCGCCCGGGCCGGGGGTCCGAGCCGCGCGCCCCCGGCCCTGGCCCCCGAGCGCCTGGGCCGGATGTCCCGATGAGAGAGCCGGCGCTGGCAGCCAGCGCCATGGCTTACCACCCGTTCCACGCGCCACGGCCCGCCGACTTCCCCATGTCCGCCTTCCTGGCGGCAGCGCAACCTTCCTTCTTCCCGGCGCTCGCGCTGCCGCCCAGCGCGCTGGCCAAGCCTCTGCCTGACCCGGGCCTGGCGGGGGCGGCGGCCGCGGCCGCAGCGGCAGCAGCAGCGGCCGAGGCGGGGCTGCACGTCTCGGCCCTCGGCCCGCACCCGCCCGCCGCGCATCTGCGCTCACTCAAGAGCCTGGAGCCCGAGGACGAGGTGGAGGACGACCCCAAGGTGACGCTGGAGGCCAAGGAGCTGTGGGACCAGTTCCACAAGCTGGGCACGGAGATGGTCATCACCAAGTCGGGGAGGTAGGGCGGCCGGCAGGCAGGCCGGCAGGCGGGCGGGCTGGGGAACAGGACAGCACCCACCAGCGCCGAGCCCGTGCGCTCGGCTCCCCCCTGCGCCCCCGGAGCCGCTGCTTCGCTCTAAGTTGACTTTTCTTGTTTGGCACCGGAGCAAAAAAATTTTTTTTTAACAAATCCGCAAAATGAAATAAAACGAAAATACGATCCTAAAGAATAATCCCAACCGTTCTGAGTTTCGAAGCCGAGGAGGCCCCGCAGCTCGGCCCTGGCGGGTCTCCCTAGCCCTGCGATCTCGCCTTTCTGCCCCCACCCCACCCCCCACCCCCCACCCCCGGTCGGCCTCCGAGTTCCAGGGAGATGCAGTGTTTTCCTGCTTTTCGGCTCCGGCCTTGAAATCCACAGTGGGACTCGAATCTTGCTATCCTCAGGCCGACTGCCGGGTTCCAGTACTGGATCCCGGGGGGGGGGGGGGGCCTGGGAGTCTGACCCCGAGTGTGGGGCTCAGAGCTCGGGACACACCGGTTTCCCCAGGCCTTAAAGCCAAAAAAAAAAAAAAAAAAAAAGCCCCAGTCTTGAACACTTCCACTCTTGATTTAGCCACTGGAATCCAGGCCTCAGGCTCACCCTGTTCCCCCGAAAGGCAGAGTTAGCCAGCATCTGGTAGGGACTATAACCAGTCCCCCAAACAAACACCTTCCAAATTTATTTCTAGAAGCTTCTGTGACAAGTATGTATTTTTTTCCTGAAACACATACATGCATGCACGCATGCACACATGACCCCCATACATGTATTTTCCCTGAAATAAAGGAAGATTCAGAAGAAACTGTGTCTTTCTAGAGGGCCTAGACCTCTTTCCTGTGCATCAGCGTTCATCTTAGATGGGGGGGGGGAGAGCGTGAAGATTTAAGCGAAAGGCCTCATAAGAGAGATTCATATTGGCAGAAATAGAAGTAACAACTGCAGATTGGGCAGAGCGTGTGAGGGGCCCAGGCAGCCAGGGGCAAGGAAGAAGGCAATCAGGGAACCTATAAGCAATGGGGTACTTAAGGGGGAGAGGGAAAGGGAAACAGGAACGCTCTGATATGGAAGAGCTGGGTCCCAATGGCATCTTCCCCCTTCCCTCCCTTCCAAGGCGGATGTTCCCCCCTTTCAAGGTGAGAGTCAGCGGCCTGGACAAGAAGGCCAAGTACATTTTGCTGATGGACATTGTGGCTGCTGATGATTGCCGCTACAAGTTCCACAACTCCCGCTGGATGGTGGCTGGCAAGGCCGACCCAGAGATGCCCAAACGCATGTACATTCACCCGGACAGTCCCGCCACGGGGGAGCAGTGGATGGCCAAGCCGGTGGCTTTCCATAAGCTGAAGCTGACCAACAACATCTCCGACAAGCATGGCTTTGTGAGTGAGGGCAGAACAGAATGGGATTGAGAAAGCCAGCACTCCCTCAGCAGCTGGGCCCTGGGATTCGGTCAGGGAAGCACTAGCCACCGCTCCTGCTTCTCCTCCCCCCCTCCCATGTCCCAGTCTTGTGGCTGAGGCCATCTGGGCCCCGGCCTCCACAGCTCTGCTCTCCAAGCTTGCAGAAGGCTAGATCCTGCCTACTGACCTAGGGAAGGATAGGTGGGTTGGATGAACTCCAGATTGCCCACAATTTCAGTTTGGTTAGGCCTTGGAGGGAACCTCTGCCCCCAGTCAAGCCAAAGGTAGATGACACCCCCGGACTGAGTACAGCAACCCAGGTCCTTGGAAGGGCATCCTAGTTTGCACCTATAGGTGCTGAGCTTGGAAGATCTACTCATGACCTGCCCCCGCCCTTCCCCAAGACTAGAGGATTTGAATGTTCAATCAACCCCCACCCCAAATATCCTGGGGTACCATCCTTCCTCTTACAGGCAGTTGTGCCCAATCTAGAGGGAGTATAGTGACTCTCTATTTCTTCTTGAGCCGAGGTCTCAGCAACTGTTTGGAAGAGGAGATTCTATGAGGCAAAAAAAGGGGGCTACAGACTAGGCAGGTCACTCCCAGGTCAAAATTCTCGATGTGTCATTTCTGGGCCTGAGTAACGCCAAAGGAAGGAAAGTTCAAAGTGAAGTTGGTTTGTTTTTTCTTTTCTTTTCTTTTCTGCTGTATTTTTGTTTCCAATCTGTGTGTCTGGTTGGGGGGAGGGGTGGAGAGTTCGCAAAGAAAGGAGAAGCTAAAAGAAAGTAATTGATGAGGAAAAAGAAGAAGAGAAAATATAGGTGAGAGAAAAGGGGGGGGAAGCAGCGACAAAATATAGATAGAAGGAGATGGAGATCAGGTCCCCAGGGAGTGAAAATATAAAAAAAAAAAAAAACCACTGGAGACAAGGGCTGGGGTGTGCCAGCTCACTGGTGCCATTCCCGCAGACGATCCTGAACTCCATGCACAAGTACCAGCCACGCTTTCACATCGTTCGAGCTAACGACATCTTGAAGCTGCCCTACAGCACCTTCCGCACCTATGTGTTCCCTGAGACCGACTTCATTGCTGTCACTGCCTACCAGAACGACAAGGTGTGCGGGGTGGGAAAGGGGCTCAGTCCAGCACCCACACTTTCCAACCTCCCCATCGCAAACCTACCCACCCTAACTCAGTCTCTCTCCCTTTGCTCACCACCTACCCAGGATCACCAAGTTTCCCAGCACCCACAGACCCACCCCCACACCAAGGCTCCCTTTTCCAAAGCCCTACACGTACACACATGCTCCCCCGGGGTGCGCTAACAGCTGGCACTCTTTGGGGCGGAGATGTTTACTTAGCAATTAGTAGAGACTCCAGCCCGTGCTGACATTTTTACATTTTATTCGTTTATTTCTTGGCTCGGAGATGGAAATTTAAATGGAAAGAGGGCGCCTGAGGCAATCTTCCCAAGCTAGGAACTCTAGGCTCAGCTTAGCGTCCACAGGGAAGCCAGAGACGGGGACAGGTGACACAGAGCCTGAAAATCCACTAAGACCACCGCCACCTCCTCCCCAGTGACTTGTCTGGGTCACCCCAGGCCCCAGACCTCTTGAGAGATACAGAGAAAATTCAGCATCAAGTAAAAGGGTTGTCTTTTTTCCTACTAGCTGCCCTCTATTCCTTTTCTCTAGTGAAGTGCACACACACACACACACACACACAGAGCAGGCCTGTGGCATATGTATTAGTGTCCAGTGAAGGAGAAGCTCCCAATGTCCACAGCAGCCGCTGTGTCTTTGTGAGCCCGCATACACATCCAGCTATGCACACACACCATTTGGAGTGCCTTAGATCTGGGTGGAAGCGTGTGAAGTTGTTTGATTCCCCGTGAGCACTTGTTTATTCTGTGTGTGCTTGACTGTGTGCAGCCCTGGGGTTGTAAGGGATTGCCCTTGCCCGAACCTGCGGGCTTGCCTGGCCGCCGCTGGGGCTGCGCACAGAGCCTGCCCAGGTGCGGAGCCGCTTAACCTGCGTGACTGCACTGGCCTGTTTGCTTGCCTGGGCGGGTTTGGACGCTGCGCGCATAGCCTGGGGCCTGTGTGCGTGGTTGAAGAATTCATTTCTTAAACGTTTTTGGAGGAGCAGAGATACTGGTCAATTCCCTCCAATGCCCACCTGCTGGCCTCGCCTGGGTGCTGCCCCCCCCCCCCGTCAGGCTGGCTCGCACAAACCCTCAGGTCTCCATCCTAGGTCCCCCTCTCGACCTTCCCGCAGCGGCTGACCTGGGGTGCCCTCGGGTCAGGCTGCAAGAGCCAGGTCCTGACCTAGCGCCGCCTCCTTGGTCCCCACAGATTACACAGCTGAAGATCGACAACAACCCGTTTGCCAAGGGGTTCCGGGACACAGGGAATGGCCGTCGGGAAAAAAGGTGAGGTCTGAGCCCCAAAGGGCGGGTGGCGCATGCGGGGGGGGGTGGGAGCGGGCGGAGGAGAGGCGCGCTGATGCCCGGTGTCCATCCCAGGAAGCAGCTCACGCTGCCCACCCTGCGCCTGTACGAGGAGCACTGCAAGCCGGAGCGCGACGGCGCCGAGTCGGACGCCTCGTCCTGCGACCCTCCACCTGCGCGGGAACCGCCGCCCTCGCCGGGCGCGGCGCCCAGTCCCCTGCGCCTGCACCGGGCCCGAGGTGAGTTGTGCGGTTGGTCCAGAATCGGGGGGGGGGGGGCGGCGGGGGAGGAAGTGCAGAGTCGGGGCAGGGGGTGGAGGGGCCTTGGGGCGCCCAGCTGGCCTTTTGCTGGCGATCTGCTTCTTTGAATGGCCTGGGGCGAGGCGGCCGGGGTGTGCCTGGAAGGGACCGTCAACCTGGATGGACGCCCATGGAGGGCGGCTCTCGGTAGCCAGGCGGCCGGCTGGATGGTGAGCTTGGCCCCTTGTGGGCTGAGAGACTCTGGCTACGAGGTTGCCTCTGCGGGACTCAGTTTCCTCCACTGTCAGCGTTGAGATCTTGGATTAGATGTCCTGCAGCTGCCCCTCGCTGCCTCCAGAAGTTTCTGCGATCGCATCTCCCCAGAGCCGGCCTCCCTAATGCCTGCGGGGCCCAGGCACCGAGAGCGGGCCTCCCTCGCACCTGGGCCCAAGCCCCGGTAACCGCGCGCCCCTGTCCCCGCAGCCGAGGACAAGCCCTGCGCCGCAGACAGCGACCCCGAGCCCGAGCGGCTGAGCGACGAGCGCGCCAGCGCGGCTCTAGGCCGTAGCCCGACGGGGGACAGCACCAGCCCCCCTCGATTGGCCGAACCCGAACGCTCCCGGGAGCGGCGCAGTCCCGAGAGGGGCAAAGAAGCGGTGGAGAGCGGCGGGGACGGCCCGTTTGGGCTGCGGAGCCTGGAGAAGGAGCGCGCCGAAAGCAGGAGGAAGGACGAGGGGCGCAAGGAGGCGGCCGAGGCCAAGGAGCCGGGCTTGGCGCCACTGGTGGTTCAGACGGACAGTGCGTCCCCGCTGGGCGCGGGACACCTGCCCGGCCTGGCCTTCTCCAGCCACCTGCACGGCCAGCAGTTCTTTGGGCCTCTGGGAGCCGGCCAGCCGCTCTTCCTGCACCCAGGACAGTTCGCCATGGGCCCGGGCGCCTTCTCGGCCATGGGCATGGGTCATCTGCTGGCCTCGGTGGCAGGCGGTGGCGGCGGTGGCGGAGGCGCGGGGCCCGGGACGGCCGCGGGGCTGGACGCAGGCGGGCTGGGGCCCGGGGCCAGTGCAGCAAGCTCCGCCGCGCCCTTCCCGTTCCACCTCTCCCAGCACATGCTGGCATCTCAGGTAAGGCCGGTGAGCTGCTGGGCTGGGTGGAGGTGGGCAGAGGGTGTGAGGGGCGCCAGACCCTCCAGGAGGCCAGAGCTCCCTCGAGAGGAAGAGCGGAAGGTCGCTCTCCGGGATACCTAGGTGCAGGGAGACTCACTTCTATGATCTGGCCCGGAGGAGTTGCTTCTCACTCTCGTGTGGCCTTGGCCAAGTGCTTGATCTACTCTCCCTGGGCCTGTTTCCTTCCCCATACCCCCAGTCAGGAGTGAGGGCAGCAGTCAAAGTAACCCGGGACTTGGGCTGGAAGTTGGCTCAGTGGTAGAGCACTTGCCTTGCATGCATGAGGCCCTGGGTTCCATTCCTCAGCACCACATAAGAAGAAAAAGCTAGAAGTGGTGCTGTGGCTCAAGTGGTAGAGCTCTAGAGCTGAAGAGCTGAGGGACAGCGCCCAGGCCCAGAGTTCAGACCCCTCTACGGACCAGCAAAAAAAACAAAAATGACAAAACAAAATAACCAAAACTCCAGACTTACACAGATTCCCATTAGTGGGTTTCTTTTATGTGCACCCTTCTGGCTCAGACACTTGCCTCACCATCAGAGCTGAAAGGCTAGGGTGACTGGACAAATGGAGAAGGAATATTCACATTATTGTCAGGACAATTAACCTCCAAAACCATCCATCTCCCACACATCCCTTGCCTCTTTTAGGACCTCTAGGAAATCCTTTCTTTCTCTCTCTCTCTGTCTCTCTGTCTCTCTCTCCTCTCTCTGTGTCACACACACACACACACACACACACACACACACTGAATCCCTTCAATTCTCCCAGGAAAGATGACTGAATTCCCCAGATCCTTGTTGAAACTCTGAGCTCCCAGGAGAGAGTTTATGAAAATGTGGCCAGGAGATCCCAAGGGGAGGGTGGCCTCTTTGGTTACTTGGGTGGAATATTTCCCGTGGAAAGGTTTGGAATCCCTTCATTCATTTTCTTCCCTCTGAGGTTTCTGGCAAATTAAGCCCTTGAGATCTTATCGCAAGAGAAGGAAAATAGGAGTTCAGGTCTAAGAAAGTTCCTTTGGGTTCGGGAGCTAATATGTTTAAAGTCTTGGGTGTGAGTGTGTGTGGGGGGGGTATGAAATGAGTTTTTATTACTAGTTATACAAATGGGGTTACCGTTCCACAAGTCGGTTACAAGGCTTCTTGGTGAACATCACCCCTTCTTCCCTTCTCACCTATTCCCCCTCCCCCATCTCCACCCTCAGGTTTTAAGCAGAGCTCAGCATCAGAGTATGTGCAGGATTTGAGGCACCAATATCACATGGTTGTCTGGGCTGGAGACAAGTTTCTAGAGAACAGAGTCCAGGGCTTGGAGAGTTAATCTGCACTGATGACTCTCCCCTAAGCTCTGATGATGACCTTGGGCATTATAGAGGTCATAGGGAAGTCAAGACTTCTAGTCACATCCTGGTCAACAGGTGCAAAGTCAGAATGGGGGTGCACAGCATTAGGCAGGGGTCCTTTGGTATAGCTGCTGGCCAGAGTATCAGGTCTTGACTGACAGAATGGCATCTTGAGAGATCCAGAGCCTTCCTCTCTCCTGACCTGAGAGGCCAGATCTGAAATGTTCTGTGTGTCTCTACCCACTCGGAAAGGGCATTTCCCCCCTCCTGACTGAGCTGCCTCTGCTTCTCCTTGCTGGAGCCTGCACCAAGGCTCCTCAGGTACTTAGCCAGGTCACCCCTCTGCCCTCCTGCCCACCCCACCCCCACGGGCTGGGGGAGTGAGCCATTATCTCAAAGGTCACATAATCTCCAGCCCCGGCCTGGTGAGTTCAGGTTTGCCAAGGGGTTCCTGGCTGCCCTGCGCTCTGCGGGCAGCATTTGCATTCCCTCTCAGCTGCTGAGGAGGGGCTGCCAGTTCTCTACAGAATATTCGGACCAGTTTATGAACTGGTTGTCATTGGTGCCCTGCTCTTGGCCAAGGCGGGAGGGGCGGGCAGGTGAGCAGGCAGGAGACCTTAGCAAGCTCCTCCCCCAGCCTGTGCTCCGGGGCCGTGGGCACACACTGGGTGGGGGGAGGGAGGTGGGGGTAGGAGGGCTGTTGGAAATGGGCAGAACCCCCTGACAGCCACAGCTGCCTGCCTACCACCTGGCCCGGTGCCTACCGCGCTTCCTTCCTTCCCTCTAGGCCTTTGCTCTGCCAGTTCGGCCACCTGGGCGTCCTTTCCCTTGCCCCTACCAGAACGCTGAGCACAGAACTTGCACCCTACCCCGAGTATGGGTGCGCTTCTCCCCCTGGGTTTGGCCATGGGCACCCTATGACCTCTGGATTTATATGTCCTGACAGAGGAGGGCTCGGATGCTCCATCGCAGCATCCAGGCCGTCCCAGAGACACCACAGGCGGGATGCCTAACCCTGTCTCCTCCCTGTCTCTTCCAGGGAATCCCGATGCCCACGTTCGGAGGCCTCTTCCCCTACCCGTACACCTACATGGCGGCCGCGGCCGCTGCCGCCGCCTCCGCGC